TGTAAAAAACGTCGTACTATTCAGAACTAACAGTAATTTTAAGAAAAAGACGTAAACAGCGAAGAAAATTTTCTTTTCAACCATTCATTCTCATTCGTTCATGATCCAAAGATCGAATATCACAAGCTAATATGGATGGGACAGCTTATCAACTTCCAAAGCTTCGTCCCATTGATCCGAAGGTAAAACCTGGTACGTATATTAAGTTCAAGGATTAGAAAAATCTGTTCGGAAGATATGATAAAGAATTAAATTTATTACGTGAAACCCTACTAGAGAACGGGTATCCACCACGATTCATAGACAAAAGCATGAAAGAGAAGCCTCTGTCGCCAAAAATCACAACTGTTTCTAAGAAAACTATCTTCATGAACCTGAAATTCAAAAATGACACAGCAGCAGAAATTCTTAGAAACCGTCTTTCTAAATGTCTGAAGAAGATATTTCAAGCAGCTAACTTACGTATCGCATTCGCCAGTAGACAGTTAATCCAGTCTAATTTTAAGGATAAGATACCGCTTTTGGCCACCTCAGTGTGTATCAATTTGCTTGCTCGTGTGGAACAAAGTATATCGGCCGTACGCCACGTGAAGTCCACAAACGTATTGTGGAACATCATTCAGCTTGGTAAGCCAGAGGAGAAAAGAAGAATATCGGCAGCTCCATCCTCGAACACCTTGTCATCTCTGGACATGGAGCACCCCCACATGAATGCTTCACAAAGTCCTGAGTATCGTACAAAGGGACTTCGCATTAGTCATCTGTACATAGCTGAATCATTAGTTATTCGGGATCTGAAGCCGGACCTCTGCATTCAAAAGCGCTACATACATTCACTCGCCCTACCGTGGCCAGAGTAAAGTTCCCAACTGATAGCTGCTACTTTGACGGGTGGTCGGGGCTCACATCGCAATGACCCAACAAACTACACTGGCTGGAACTATTGTTCCTGCAGGTCCTACCATGCCAGAAATGTTGTTAGGATAGTGATTAAACTAAAAGCAGTTACCGGCATAGTGTAAGAATTTCTTTATACACTGTGCTGGGGGTCTGTAGGCGAAGTCGTACTGCTGAGGAACAGGGATGTAACAGCAGTGAAGTGTTTCCCTCAGATGACGAGCATGCCAGCTATGTTGTTTCTCCACTCCGGAGAGAGATGGTTCGTAAAGGTCCGTGACCGGTAGTAAATTTACTAATACGGAACCAATCCAAGAAACCAGTTCAGACAGGTCGTGTGGTTGGCGGCCTCAAGCAGTTGTCTCCTGGGTTCTGTGGTCACAAAGCACTAACCCTCTTTCTGTTTCAGGTACCCGAAGAATCAATCAACTCCCACGATGTGGGAAGTCTGGAAGTAAAAACCGCCCACACCTTTTCAAAAGCACACGAAGCCTTCCTGAGCATCATTCTCCTCTGCCCACACCACCCTCATCATCTTACCTCCCTACTACAGTCAGGGCAATTCCTCAGGCTACTGAGTCATCTTCACTACACTCTGTGACCTCGAACAACGGTGAGAGCCATAGAAACATCCCAGACAGCCTCTTAAAGCCACGTCACAAACTTCATATAGGAGTTTTTAACGTCAGGACCCTCTGCCAAATCTGACAACAGGCATCAATAGCAAGAACTCTGGAATCTAGAGCCATGGATGTATGTTGTGTTTCGAAGACACGCATACAAGACCCGAGTGTGGTCAATCACTTGACCCCACCCGGTCAACAAGGTGAAACTGCAAAATTCACTTTAAGGGTGTCAGTTGACTCTTCAGCTAGTTCGCGAGGACTCGTAGGTGTAGGCATAGCATGCAGTGTCAAATCACTTCTTGACTGGATCTCAGTAGATAGTCGTATGTGTGCGGCCCGTCTGAATGAGTCCGTTGGAAGAAGGGAGACGTTACTCGTCGTTGTCTTTTCACAGTTTCTGCTTACGCCCCAACAGAATGCACTTCGGATGAACTAAAGGATGATTTCTACCTGAAATTGTCTAATTTGCTGCTAAAAGCGAGACGCTCAAATATAGTTGTTTTAGCAGGCGACTTCAATGCCTAAGTAGGGAACTTGTGCCAGACTGAGAAGTATATAGGTGGTACGTATGGAGTACCCTGCCGACGAACCGTCAATCGTGATCGTCTTCTACAGTTCTGTTCAGGTAATCAGCTGTTCCTAGTCAGCACTAACTTTAGACACAGAGACACTGCGTAACCGGGCGACCTCCGTCACCAAATCAACGTCGAACTCAGATAGACCACATAGCGATAGGGTATCGTTGGCGAGGGTCAGTAGAAGACTGCCGCTCCTTCTGTAAAACGTGCATAGTTTCCGATCACGCTCTGGTCCGCGCATTAACTGAGGTTCTAGGCAGCGCCTGCAAATCAGAGGAAGTCCCATTGGGTTGCTGTAAGTCACTGATTATCCTCATATACAAGAAGGGAGACAAGTCTTCCTGTGATAATCACAGAGGGATTAGGTTGACTAATATAGTATGTAAAGTCCTAGGCTCAATAATCATGCGTAGACTAAGTGGTGCTCAGGAGGCATAAACACGAGAAAACCAGATAGGCTTTAGACCAGGAAGAGGGTGTATCAATCATATCTTCACCCTGTAACAGATTCTAGAACATAGGCATTCCTACTGGCGTCCAATAATCATTATATTTCTTGAGCTAAAGGCGGAATTCGATTCTGTCGACCGAGAGGTTCTCTGGCGATGCTTGGCTGTAAAGGGAATGCCAAAAAAATGCATTGCACTGATTAAGGCACTCTACTCGTACTCATAGAGCCAGGTGAGGGCTTACGGCGAGTTGTCATCTTAACTGGTGACGACTAGTGGTGTCCATCAAGGATGCCCATTTCTATTGAACTTCATCATAGATGTGTTAATGGACTTAACCCTAGGTGACTTCAGCGACTCAGGGATTGACTTGCTACCGGGGAATAATCTCGTTGACTTCGAATATGCAGACGATATAGTCCTTCTAGGCGAAGACGCTGACGAAATGCAGAGTCTTCTAAACACCTTGAGCCGCAATCTACGAATGTTTGGCATGCGATTCGCTCCCGCCAAATGCAAGATGATGTTACAGGACTGGACTGCAGCGACGCCTAGTTTAAAAATAGGGAGTGAAGTGTTAGAGCACATTGACCGCTTCACTTATTTGGGAAGTACCATCAGCCAGTGCCAATGGGTTGATCTCTGACGAAATCTCAGCACGCATACAGGGGGCTCGTTTCGCATTTGTTAGTTTACGCCGACTCTGGCGTAGACGAGATGTTCGACTATCGACCAAAGGGCGGGTGTACTGCTCAGGAGTTCGTTCCATCCTCCTTTATGGCTGGGAGACCTGGACATTGAGAGTGGAAGACACGAGAAAATCAGCTGTCTTTGATCATAGATGCCTGCGTTCTATTCCCCGTGTGAAGTGGTATAATAAGGTGAGCAATATTGAGGTTAGGCGTCGAGTTCTAGGTAGGTGGGAGGGGAAATCAATAGACGAGGTTGTGAAACTACATCGATTGAGATGGTTAGGACATGTGTTACGTATGCCTGGTCACCGCCTTCCTTGACGGACAATGTTAGCTGATATAGGGTCAGGCTGGAAAAAAGCTAGCGGAGGTCAAACAAAAACATGGCACCAGTCAATGAAATCTACAACAGTTAGTCTAAGCCACCTAGGAAGGTGTGGACTTGCTGTTTGGGGTCCTCCGGACGGTAAAAACCAATGGTTGGAAACAATTGGTGACATGGCGCAGATGCATCCACTCCATATGACTTATGATTTCCAATAAAACTGTTTTGTTCTTCGTCGTTACTCTTCCTTTGTCTCACACCTCTGTTTACTGTCTCTATTATGCATTTCTTCTACTTTCTTCTCTTGTTTTGTGTGCTACATGGTGTGGCGACTTGAACTGCCGCACATATGTGCAAAGTTCCATGTCAAAAACACACAGACAGACACCCAATACAGCTAAATTTTATCTTCCCTTGAAAAGTACACAGTGGAATTATTCATAAGCGTAGAAATTGGGCATAGCAGTCAATAGTGTAAGTAATTCCACATAACTTGTTGGATGAATCACACGATGGAACCGGATTGTTTGCAGGATGACGCGTGATAAACTCAATTTACTGTTTACAACCGTACTAACAAAAACTCGGCAATTTAAGCACTCGGAGTGCCTAGTTCATTTTCGTCTTTGCATTTGTCTTAAGTATAAAACTTCTCACATGTCTGGTACACATTTTGAGTTAATCCTCTTGTATTTGTTAACTCCAGTTGACTCGATAAATACAGTTTTAACTATCTAATTGTTATATCAGATTTTAGGACAGTCACATCCTATTGTATGCAAATGCGTGAACGGGTTTTAGTCTAGTTTTTTGACCTCAAGAGCATATATATATATATATATATATATATTCACACATCCCCATCTAAAAGTGTTAACTTATTTAGCCAGTGACAAGTAGATACGAATAACCAATATGACTGTACTGCTCCCCTCCCCCACACTTAATATTTATTACGCTATTCTGTTTTATAATTAGAAATCTGAGGTGATATAATTAAGGACTGACAAAACTGTGAAAACATGTTCAGATGTCTACTCAAACTGAGTCGTCAGACATCAGGTCCCATCAAAATGATAACACAGTGGATCCTTACTGCACCTTCACCATATCAACACACTCATCTTTTAGGAAGCCATCAATACTAAAGGCAATTTATATAATGTGTTTATGGCTTGTTTTACCATCGCTACTTCGTGATTTGTTAACCTGCCTGAACAAATTAAAGTATATACACCATTTCATTACGGAACAAAAAATAACATAATTTTGAAATGAATACAAAGAAAGTAGTATTTATCTTTTCCGAGCATACATAGAGTAACATAAGAACATATGTATAAACAAATATTGAAGGGTCTATCACGCTTGCCTACAAACAGTTTCTAGAGAAATAAGGAAAATTGTTGATTCTATACAAAGTTGAATAGGTGTCACTCTTTAAAAGGTGAAGTGAAGTTGTTTGTAATTGTATCATTTACACCAGAAAGTAAGTGAGATTTTAAATCTATTGTGTCAACACTGCTCAAAAATACATCCTGAGGAACTGAAGAACTTGGAGCACATACAGGGACCGAACTGACATCTTGAGATGGATCACAAACGATGAGATTTTCCTGCAACACAGAACCTGAAGTATCATATGTTAAATCATCGGTATCATCCAAAGGAACTTCAACGCCTTCTTCAATTATCTGTTCAGTGACAATACCATCTGTAACTAATGTTGTATCTGCAAAATTAATAGTAGGTACGTGTTCATGAACAGGATCAGTTCGGTCAGATTTCGCAACAGTATGAATTTTACTGTAACCATTATATTCATTAGGATTTTGATTTTCATTAAAATGATTCAAAAATTTATAGTCTGATTGTTCTAAGCTGTCAGCAGTTTGGTAGTACATGGAAGGCATTGGATTATTTAAATGTACATTGTTACTGTACTCATCGTAGCTTTGTGCCGTCATAGAATCAGACTACAAAAGCAACAAAAATATTTAGATTAAGTTAACAATATCCACTAGATTTGATTAGTTTATCATAAAATATGCGAAGAATAATTTGAGTACTAAAAACGAATTACCAATACATTTGGTTATTGCCAACATCTACCACTACTCTACAGATATTCTGATATTGCATACTTGAATTTCACTGAATGAGTCGTCTTCAGAGTCTACTCCATCTAATTTCACCAAATAACAGAGTAGTATCATATTAACTCAGGAATAAAGCATGACTCATTGCGATGTCGCTTTCAATGTTTATGCTCTGCCCGATGAAATTTGAGTTAAAGTTGTCAATGTATCAGAGTTATGTAACAAGCTATGCTTACAAAAAGAAATTAGTCCACCACTTTCACTAGCATGGCAACAACCGTGTTGATTTCCACTGACTTGACGTTTGTGCGCCTGTCTTTCTAATTCCTCCTTATAAGTCTTGTGATTCTCTACAACTCTTACATGATTCCATATTTTCCTTCATTTTTACGTACATCCTAATCGAAACTCACTCACTAAATTATTCATCTTATTACGCAACTAAAATACACTTGCTCAACTTGTCTTACGCACTGACTAACATTAACAAATATTTTTGACAACTCATCACCAACTACCCTCATACTAATCTTTACCCGCCCGCCCTAGTTACAACCTGATTACTTATGACATTTTTTCAAAATATTTTGATGACGTAAACAACAACAACCCCTAGCTAATTTTTATTCTTGTCTGACACAATGTACACACACATATACAGAAATAATTGAATATAACTGCGACTGTACACACCTAAATGAATGAATTCGTCAAAAAGAGATTCTTCTTCACTGAACTACATGTTTTCTTTTTATCGATGAAATTTACTCTCACTTTGAGAAAATTACGAGTAGTAAATTTTAATGTAATTGCATGTATGGGAAGTAGTCCAGTACATCTTTAATTTGCGACATCACTCCGTATACCAAAATTTCCGCGGGTATCAATGTTTGGCATGAAGAAGAGTATATTCCCAGTAATCTCACAAGTGGGTGGAACATAGACCAGTAGTTCTCCCGTTTTAAACCTTAGTTTTTCAATAATTCTGAAAGATTATTATTTTTAGGCTTTTTTTCCGAGAGAACATTTATGATCCAGCAAAAACACACAATTAATGAAAACTACTACAGTACAATTGAACTGTTCTGACTCATTCACTAGGCTTCAAGACAATCAAGTTTTCACACAACTGAAATCTACTAAGAGCTGTATTCTTCTTTTACAGTTATTGAATTAGGCTAAGGGATGCATGAGACTTTCCCACACTAAAAGCAACAATCATTTTCAGTGGGATGAATGCTCAATTCGTTCTTAAATATATTTATCGTTAGGCTGAACTCGGAAAGACCTACTGTAACTGATACACGTTTACTATTAAAAAGTGAGAACATATGCCAGTTTCAAACAATATATGACTGAACTTCATTCATATAACCAAGGAAGAAGAAACAGGCATTATCAACACTGGACCTCGTATTATTAATTAGGGGGGGGGTTACCTCGTCGGTGGCACAGTGGTTAGGACTCTCGCCGACCATGCACATGGTCCAGGGTTCGAGCCCGCACCGACGCACACCTGATATCTATGATCGGCCTGCAAAATTTGGGCTACCGATATCCATGCTGAAAATTCCGTACTTGTACCAAAAATACAGTGTGGAATCAAGCTGTAATCAAAAATTAAAAAAAAATTAAAATTAAAAGTCTATTATTTGCAAACTAATTAAAAGGTGATGAAAGGGGAAGTATAGAAATGCACGCATATACATATATATAAACCGGCACCTTATAGAAGGATTAAAACACCTGTGTATTATACAGGTCTAATAACAGTGTCAGTAAGTGTAAAACGGTTATCCATAAGATATATATTTTAATTTGGAATTTCAAAATCCTGCATCCATGTACGTCATTAATAAATAATCGCATAGGAATGCAAATATATAACAAGAACAGTGGCAGACTGATTACTTTTCGAAAGCACAAATGCATGCAATTACGTCAACTGACTACAGCCTCGACCTACGATAAAATGACATAACGTAGCCTCGTGCATGCTTACAGTATAAGAAGACAATCTGTCTACTGAATAGTGATATCATTGGTTGCCCAAATCTTAGACTTTGAAGTGGAGTCCAAACTAATTATGCAATCACAAAGACAAGTGGCATTCAACAAAGAGTTTCTCTTTTCAATGATATCATCCTAAAACTTGTACAATCTCACATAATACATTAATCTTTGCAACATAAAGAATGTTCTAGATGTTATCAAAGTGTGGAGTCTTAGGTAAGAAGCAAGAGATAGTGAAGAAATTAAGCAACACAAGAAACATTAGTCAGATAGAGACTTGAGGAAAACTAAGTAAATTGAGTAATGCAAAATAGTGGACAGATATGAGTGGAATCCAACTAAGACTGTAGAGAGGTTACATAATGACCACTGTGGTAAGGTGTACACGTGTAGCAGAAAACAGTGAAATGCTCCGACGAATTAGGCAAATGACTGAAAAAACCTCTACACGGTGTCAATGTACTTAATATAAATTAATATGCCTTGCACCGTACGAAGAAATTCGAACCACATGCCCCCCCCCCAACTCTGCAACCAGTATGAGAGTTCATTTGATGTCTATTATAGAACTGCAGGGAGCCTTCTTCGTAAAATCACGCAACCAAGCGTTCGAAGATATCTCTACAGCTAAGGTTAAATAATAGTGAACGGCACAAGCAACCTACAAAGAGACCTTGAACATACAATGATATCTATGTAACGACAAAAGGCAAGAGTCAGGCAACAGATCCTTTATTAAGGAAATCAACACGTATTTATATATATTTCATCTACATTATCATAGCTTATTCAAGCAGACAAACGCAGTCTTCTGATTCGCTGTTTCTTACAGAAAGTTGACTTTGCATCTCTTTGTGACTGTTTCTTGAATGTCAGGTCACCTATATGTTAAGTGTATCTGCCTACGCCAAGTTTGCTGTGACTGGTTGTTGAATCAGTCTTGTTCATATATTCTCACCACCAATATTGCGACATACCCATTGACGTAAAATGCTGTCTAGCATTTTTGGCTAGCTTGCTCTCACCACATCTACACCATTCACCTATCATGCTAATGTGTACAACTGAGGCGAAGCACTGTGGTAGTAGGCCATTCTATAAATATTTGTTTATTAGATATATCACCCAGTGAAACAGCATTATTTACTGGATGACGCTTCGAACACAATTTATTTTTCATAATCATACCAGTCACAATCACACAACTTAAAACTTCCGTTTTATAGTTTTCTTTATTCTTTCGTATTTGTCGTAGGGGTATAGGATTTTTCAGATGTCTGGGACATGTGTTGAATCATTCCTATTACATGTGTTTGCAGTTGATTCGATAAATAAAGCATTCGTTATCAATCTCTCTCCATCCTGTTACATTAGATTTTAACACTATCATATTATGCCATCCCGTTGTATGGTTGTGCGTAACTGCATGTAGTGAGTGCTTCAGCTGAGCTATTCTCCAGACTCCTTCTCTTATTAAAGTCAATTAATCTAAATTTTGCTAGGTTTGTGTGCTCCGCTGGTCTGATTGACCCCGTTATACTGCTTTGACCTATGTATTTGGCCTGGGAATCATTCAAACAGGATATTGGATAAACTAAATTGTTTTGTTTAATGGGATTTGAATGCCACTCTTATTCCTGCCAGAATTGTTAAGAATGCTCCTTAAGTTCTCCGGGGTTCCCTTCTTTGTATGGAAGTACTATTGATGATTTAAATTCCCTATTATTGGTGTTATCACTATCCTGGCATGTTTGACGTGCATGTCATCATTAATATTATTATTATTATCACTATCGTTACTACTGTTATTAATTTCATTTTTATATTTTCCTACATACTTCCTGATTAATTTATTAAGGCAATTATTAGATTCCAAAGCTTCTCTTACATGCCTCACTTCTTGTCTTAGATTTTCCTTGATACTACTTAGTTTTTGTGCCCTATTACTGAAACATTTCACCAATCTTTTGCTGACATAGAGTAGGATGATCGCGAATCCAAACATCGGTTTGTGTATGGATTTCCTGTAAACACTACCGTTTAACCTTGCATTTGCTTCCCTTTTTCTGCTACAGTTTAACATTAGAAGCTTCTCTCCCTGACTTTCCAATTCATGGATAGATTGAATTGTCTGTACCTTTGAGTTGATGTGTTAAGAAAATCTGTTTATGTTCTGTGTCCTAAGTATGGTGAATGTGTCGTCTACATATTTCCATCATACTTTTGGGGTGGGGCTGAGCGTTTACCCACCCATCCATGAAAGCAGCTGCCACAATTGGGGATATTGGTGAACCCATGGCGACTCCCTCAGTTTGTTTGTATATTTTCCCTAGGGATTTGAATACTATGTCAGTAAAAATAGGAATGGTGAAATGTTTCAGTAATAGGGCACAAAAACTAAGTAGTACCAAGGAAAATCTAAGACAAGAAGTGAGGCATGTAAGAGAAGCTTTGGAATCTAATAATTGCCTTAATAAATTAATCAGGAAGTATGTAGGAAAATATAAAAATGAAATTAATAACAGTAGTAACGATAGTGATAATAATAATATATTAATGATGACATGCACGTCAAACATGCCAGGATAGTGATAACACCAATAATAGGGAATTTAAATCATCAATAGTACTTCCATACAAAGAAGGGAACCCCGGAAACTTAAGGAGCATTCTTAACAATTCTGGCAGGAATAAGAGTGGCATTCAAATCCCATTAAACAAAACAATTTAGTTTATCCAATATCCTGTTTGAATGATTCCCAGGCCAAATACATAGGTCAAAGCAGTATAACGGGGTCAATCAGACCAGCGGAGCACACAAACCTAGCAAAATTTAGATTAATTGACTTTAATAAGAGAAGGAGTCTGGAGAATAGCTCAGCTGAAGCACTCACTACATGCAGTTACGCACAACCATACAACGGGATGGCATAATATGATAGTGTTAAAATCTAATGTAACAGGATGGAGAGAGATTGATAACGAATGCTTTATTTATCGAATCAACTGCAAACACATGTAATAGGAATGATTCAACACATGTCCCAGACATCTGAAAAATCCTATACCCCTACGACAAATACGAAAGAATAAATAAAACTATAAAACGGAAGTTTTAAGTTGTGTGATTGTGACTGGTATGATTATGAAAAATAAATTGTGTTCGAAACGTCATCCAGTAAATAATGCTGTTTCACTGGGTGATATATCCAATAAACAAATTCATACGGAATGACATCTTTTATGCTGTTAATATGTCCACTGTGTAGTTTTCGACTTTTTAATAAGTAATGGTCTCTCTGGACGCATCAAAACGTGCGTACACAGTGGAAAGATTGCAGGCAAACAAAATAATCTCCTAGCAGATGAATATGCCAATCAGCGTAGTAGATGCAGAAGGAAGTCTGTACAGCATAGTATGTGTAGTAATTTAATTCTTCTATAGCTACTTTTTGTTTCTACATCAAAACTGCTCATACACGTTTATTTGACACAACACAGTGATACAGGATTAATAAGTGGATGGTGTTTTCAGCACAAGTAATTGCCCACAATCACAGTGGGTTATTCGGTTAATACCATTTCACTGCGTTATACTCCATAAACTCAACTAATTTGGGATTCCTTTCCATTATTGTCTGAATTTTACTCTTAAACCAACAAAAATCTTTATCGAATATTTTATTTCTTATGAATAACTGGGTGATACAGATATCTGTTAGGTCTACAACCACTGAGATACAAAACATACTTGCCTTCACAGTATAATGATTTTAGAGTTGCACAGAGGTAACATCATGGAAGATACATTCACTGTTAAATTAGTTCTGGATAAAAGGAATTTATGATAATTCTCTAAAGGACGAATTCCTCGAGACCATTTTCAACAGAAATACATCAGCACTGACACCGGTACCTTACAGACTGGTCTTACCAACAACAATGATCCGGATGCAAATAGTCATCTTTGGGATTCATCCAGCACTCAACTGATTTCATGAACATTCGACTGAAGGATTCCAGGGGAAATTAAAGGAAAGAGTGATTAAGATGACAAACTAATGGATCCCAAAACCAAATGGTGGTAGAGATAGGGAAACATTTTTACATTTGAGAAAACTATCCTACACATACGATTCATTAGACCTAACGGACTTTGAGATGGATTCAAATTTTAACTGAACCGCACTGATTTCTAACACGTATGTTACACCACTCAATCTCGCTCTAGTCTCTCCTCAGGATTTCCTGCTTGTTAACTTGAACTTCACATTTTAATAACATCTTTAGGAGATATACCTTTTGTTGTTAAGACAATGTGTTATATATGTGAGACTGTACATTTCTGGAATGATACCACTGAAAAGGTAACTCTCCGTTGAATACTTCTTGCTTTTATGACGCAATAAAGATTTGCAAACCACTGGATGGAAGTCAAGTGCTCATATCAATGAGCAAAAGCTTTACAAGGTGTAGTACACAACACGGTAAATAAGTGAAATGGGAATTTAAAACTTACTTTATGTAAATGAAACCATGCACGACAGCTGGCAACGCGAGACCACACCAATAGACTGTCAGTAGATATACCAGGCTTTAGCTGCTGACCAAATGCAAGAACAATTTCAAAATGAGGTCGTGGCTGTTGATTTTGATGATACGACTCTAGTTGAAATAAAAATTGGTCATAGTCAAAAACTTTCTCCCGTAATCGACGCCCAAGTTTCTTTAATAAAACGTGTTGTCCACTGACCGTTGGTATATACACAAAGACAGCACATTTGCATACTCTCTCGACATAAATACTGCCACGAACAACTGTTAAGATGATTCCCTTGACCATATTGTCCAGCAGGAGGTCTACATAATGCTTATTAGCTACTGAAACCTGATGAGGAATCAGCACTTCAACTGGTTCAGGAGCATTAGGAGATGTGATCTGTCAAATTAAATCAGTACAGTAAACAGAAATTACCTCGTCAAATCGTTCATAGTATACACAACAACCATTTGGATTAGTAACAATAGTATCTCTCACGCGTACATTTAAATGTTGTATACGTATACCTAAATGGTGATATTCAGGCTCAGGTATTAGTTCAAGCGACTGGTCCAATGAAACAACTCCAGGAACAAAATAAGTAAGGAGCGATAGGTCATCAGACGCAGTGTTACTGTTGATCATCTGGCAATCAGAAATGCTTAACGGATGCATTTTAAATTGACCATCTACATTCACAGTTTCACTAACGCATCCCAAATTCTGATTAGAAACCATGTTTACAGAATTGCGGTGAATTCTATAGGGGTTGGGCTGCTGACCTTGAAGTATATAAGCTGAACCATATTGGTTGGATTGTATTTGCTTCATATGGACGCCATCGTTCCTTCTAACCTACAAAAATTATGAAAATAAAACACCTGTTGATAAAGACCTTGGAGAACTCAAAAATATTCAACTGATCACGTACGTTACAGAAGTAAATGTCATTCTTGATATAAGAATAAAACTTGTGCACTGTGGTAGTGTAATTCCATTATGGGTAAATTTTGTTTTGATAAAGTCTCACAGTGTTAAACAGAAATGTTTACTATAAACATTACTGTATAACACTGTGAGACTTTATCAAAACAAAATTTACCCATAATGGAATTAAATGTCATTCTAAATTGAGAAGCGAGATTGAATATTACAGATTCGTTTTTTGGAAAATTACACAGCTAATATATTCAATGATATAGGGATATGGTATTTGGATTTCAGGTTCTTTTTTTGCTTGAACTGCTGTGATCTGAAATCCAGAATATTAATTTTCATATATTTAAGTCTCCATTACTGTCGCTTAAAACTGGTTATGAACCTTGGAAAAGACAATTGCATACTGCAGAGGGTAAGTATCGATAGAGAAGATTTGTATTTATTTATTTATTTAAACGCATAAAAAACTTGGTACAATATGGCACCAAGAAAGATGCGCCACACAATAATAATAAAACAACATAGATCAAAAAAAGGAAGGAAGGAAAAGAAAATATATATATAAGTAGAGAACGGATAAAGAACTTCATCTGGAAGGAAAACAGTCATGCTTAACAAGTTCAAACAGTGTTCGTTAGCTATCATCGGGAAGGGAAGAAAGAAGGAAATCGCAACACATTCGCCACTGATTACGATTCTTGGCCATATCCGATAACGTTTCGAGCCATCGATTTGAGCTATCTCTCGGACCCCAACCAGGGAGTCGTGACACACCAACCGATGCTAATCTAGCACAAAAATCCTTCATCCCACGACGCCACGTCATGGACTGACCACCTCTCCGCCTTTTCCATCCCGTCCCAGGGCTAGCGAACAGAGACCTGTACGGAAGCCTCTGGGGTGACATTCGGAGCACATGTCCAAGCCACCGGAGCCGGTGTTTCCAGATGACGACATTCAATGAATAGTGATCTCCACTTTGTTCAAACACACGCCGCCGAACCTCAGAATTACTCACGCGATGATGCCATCGAACGCAAGCAATCCTGCGGAGACAGCGGTGATCGAACACGCAGAGTCGCCGCACATCCTCAGCTCGGAGAGGCCAGGTTTCACAGGCGTAGAGCAGGACAGCTCGCACCGAAGCATTGTATACCCGACCTTTGACAGCCAGGCTAACGTCGCGACGGCGCCAGAGGTGGCTCAAGTTGATGTATGCCACCCTAGCCTTCATTATACGGTTGGAAATCTCATCCGTCACCCCTCCGCCAGCACTCACACAACTACCCAGGTACACAAACTTATCAACAACTTCAAGCGGTTCACCCGCAAGAGTGAGTGCAGGTACAGGCTCCTGCCAATCTTGTAACAGTACTTTGCACTTAGACGGCGCAAAGCACATACCATACTTACAGACACTGATCGCCAACTGATTAAGTGCGATTTGGGCAGCCTGCATGCTATCGCACAGTAAGACGATATCGTCTGCATACTCGAGGTCGAAAAGTCTATCTCCAGGTAGCAGATCTACACCACCTTCACGCACATCCTTCAGAGCTGACTCCAGAATGTCATCGATGGCAAAGTTAAAGAGAAATGGAGAGATTGGGCAACCCTGTCTAACCCCACTGTTGGTTGGGAACAGTGGTGATAGTTGGTTGTATGCCCTCACTCTACCTGAGGTGTTTCTGTATAGGGCTTTCAGGATGTTAACAAATTTCTCAGGTACACCTCTCTCTAACAGACAGTTCCAGAGCACAGTTCTGTCCAACGAATCGAAGGCAGCCCTAATATCAAGAAACACAACGATCGTTGGCCTGCAATACGTGTGGCGGTGTTCCAACAACTGACGAAGGGTGAACACATGATCAATGCATCCACGACCTGAACGAAACCCAGCCTGCTCTTCGCGAATCAATCCTTCACGTATTTTGCACAGTCTGCGAAGCAAGACAGCAGCCAATATTTTAGACGCGACTGGTAACAGACTGATACCCCTATGATTGTCACACGAATTACGTCGACCCTTTTTAAAGATGGGGACGATAATGGCTTCGTTCCACATTGATGGTACACTCTCTGTCTCCCACACCTTCCTGAACAACCCAGTTAGAGCCATTGTGAGAGTCTCGCCACCATCTTTAAAAAGAGCCGGGGGTAATTTGTCTGGGCCGGGCGCCTTATGGCGTTTCAGAACTTGGAGTTCCTTACGGACCTCCGCTTCGGTGGGTGGGTCGGTACTAACCGACCAAGGAGCACTCGGGCTAATGATAGTAGACACTGAAGCTGGTGGCCAGCTGAACTGCTTCCCGAAGTGCTCTGCCCAGCGTTCCAGGCGTCTTTTCAGGCTGGTAATTGGAGTGCCATCTGCCTCACAGACCGTCTCGCTGACACCTTGTTTCTTGCTGCCGGTGGCTCGTATGAGTTGGAACAGCTTCCGACTGTTGCCAGATGCAGCAGCTGACTCCATCTCACACGCACGTTCTGACCACCAGGCTTCGCGGTCCTTACGTAAACACTGTCTAATCTTGCGCGTGAGCGCCTTTCGCTGATTGTTGTATTCGCTGCCAGCCGGAATGGACCGGCGTTCATCCATGAGTTGCAAGGAACTCGCAGAAACCCAGTGGTTGTTAGCGGAGCATTCTTTCAAGCCGCAAGCGGCTACACTCGCCTTTTGCATGGCACCTTGCACATGAAGCCAATGTTCATCTATACTACTTGGGGGGTTGCTGGCAAGCATTGTTTTTAACTCATTCTGATATTTCAAAGAAGTAGCAGGTGCTACTAGTTTGCTCACATCAACGCTTAGACGACGGCTTTTACGAACCCCACCAAATCGCAAGACGAACTTGGCACACACTAACGCATGATCGGAGTCCAGGCATGTGCTCCAGAAGGAGCGACAGTCTTGTATGCATCCTCGCCACCGGAAACTGACCGCGATATGATCAATCTGAGTCCAAGCTTGCTTCGCAGAGGGAGGACGCCAGGTAGCGCTACGGCGATGGCTGTGCCGGAAGTTGGTGCTAGCTAGAAATAGGTTGTGATCCGCGCAAAGCTGCAGAAGACGGTCCCCATTATCTGACCTGCGACCATGTAGTCCCCACTGACCACCTAGACGATTCTCCTCTGAGCTTAGACGCCCCACCTGTGCATTCAAGTCCCCAGCCAGCACTACGATATCCCTCCGACCCGCCTGTTTCAAGAGATCGCTCAGTTGGTAGTAAAACTCATCCTTCATTGCATCCGGGCTGCAATCCGTCGGTGCATAGGCAGAGACAACAAATAGACACCGCCTATCTGGCCTACTACTCTTTACTTTCGTATAACCTTCCAGCCTCACAGCACATAAACGACTGTTAATGGGAATCCAGTCGAGCAGTGCAGCTTCGGCTCTAGCGCTCAGTGCGACACCGACACCAGCTACGCCGGATGCCGACGCCACAGGGTCCCCGGATAAGCGCAGGTGGTACATACTACTAGAACTTCCAGATGGAGAGGATAGTCGAAGCACTTCACTGGGATCTTGAATGCGGGTCTCCGAAATGCAGCAGACATCGATAGCGAGGCTTTCCAAAGTTCTTGCCAACCCTGCCTGTTGTCCGATTTGCATCAGCGTCCGAACATTGTAGGTAGCCAGCTTGAACGCAGCACGCGGTTTCAGGATATCCGTGTTAGATGTCACATTGGGAACAACCATTTTGAGGACTACTCACTAACATCTCGAAACGACACGGATAGGCTGGGAATCTCGACAAAGGCGAAAGGCTGTCGAAGGTTAAGAAGCCAAGGTTAGAAAAGGTACAATACAGGAAACTATGTATAAAAATAAAAGTAGGGTAGGAAGGAAATAAGTTCCTTGAGGGATCAATATTGCTTGGAATCATTTTAACTAGCGCGTTGAGTTTCAATGGGAGTTCGTTGCTTTAATTCATTCATTGTGTGCGGGCTGAGATACTGCCCGGGCGCCCAGACCGAAGCAGGTGGCTTTATTAAGGGACCACCCCCGAGCCTTTGACTTGGAGTCTAATCCGCAAGGCAGCGGAGCAGCGTCAGGAGCTGCATTCCCATGGTTGCCGGTGACCCATGTGGGTTCATACGCCATTTGATCCGATTGGAAACTGGAGCCCATGTACCCCATTTGTAGCTCAGGTGGATGATTTTGATGTGGTTTTGTTCTCGCAAATTAACCATCCGGCTCAGAGAATAAAACCACATAAAAAGGGTTAGTATCATATGCAGTCAGTGAAATTAACAGTTAATTTACCTTTTGTTAATTCACAATAAACCGAACCTTTTATATTAGAACTAATGAAAGGACAAGACTTCCTGACTTTCCTTGTTTCTTACTTATATGGTGAAATTTAGATGAACAGTAAGAATGCGTACTGAAACGAGGTCAATAAACACACTGCTGTATGCATTTAGCATTTGGTGAGAAATACACTGTCGAATTATGAGCTAGATTGGAAGCCCCACTAGTCGACTGAATCTTAGTTATGTCACGTATTACCTTTTGAGCTAGAACGTTTTACTGGAGTAGAAAGTAAAAGGCTCCAATACAAATTAGGATGAGAAGTGGAACTAAATGAATGATCTTAATTAAATACACGTGATATCGGAATAGTAGTTGGGGACAAGTGTACAGGCTTAGAGATAAGCTATTTATGTCGTGTAAGTTGATAGTCGCTAGTCGAACAAAAAAATCATATTACAATTGATATGATAGTCGACAGTAAATCGTGTCCGGAGCATCAGCCAGCAGACAATACTGTGATATATCCAACAAACAAATTACTGTGGAATTGCATTGAGATGTCAGTCTCATTACCGCTGGGCCATATCCTTAGCCGATCGTGTAAGATAAATAAAACACTGATTTTTGGAAACACTAAGTTTTACTGATATTACCTGTACACTTTTTCACCTTTTGCCAGTTGCTATTATAACAACTACATGTACAGCAGACCAATAATCATTTTACTTCTTTGCATTAGATTCACCGGACATGACTACTCTTCATAACTGCCTGTTAGATGGATTAAAACGGAGTACTTTTAAAGTCTGGGAATCTATATACTAAAATACAAGTGAATTGAAGATATACTACTTATCGCGATTTCCGAATCCCCTCCCCAGCAGGATTGCCCAGTTTCTCCAAACCTCTTCATTTTTATGCACAAATTTCTGTAGACAGCAATGGTGTGGTGTAGGTGCTACCCAGGTCCGTTTGAACCTGAGTATGCAGACATCGTGTTATATGATGAGATGTAAGCCAACAGAATTGTACTTAATTAGCTGGCAAATAATGTTTGCTACAAACTCTGCACCGTTGAAATGCAGGGCTCTTTTACACCCTAGTAGCCAAAGCTTTCGAATCAATAAATAAGCTTATCTAACTAGGTATTTGCATTCAGTCCATCCTGTTAGGTGGTGCAGTATGATCAGTAATAATGCGGTTACGCACAGTTCTGGGTAAGCATGGGGAGTCAACCGAAGATGTTGATAAACTTCATCGACCAAGATGACCAGTACACCGTACATACACTAACACTTTTCTCGATTAGAATAGGACTAGGCAGGAAGAAGTTAGGCATAGACTAACGGGAAAAATCTCAACAATCCATGAAGACTTTGGTTACCGCTTAGAGCTGGATAGAGAGGTGGGGACTGTCCAACAGGACTATGTTGTATGCTACAAATTCTCAAGTATAGAGCAGACGATTTTACTCCGGATTCCGGCAGTCTTCACTGATTTTTATCTAGATGCACTTTGCCTCTTTTATTTCCGTCTCCTGTAGTTTCATTACATTTTCTTCGTTTCTGTGTACTTCTCCGCTGTCAACTTTAACTGAATTTTCGGGAACACTTTAGTGGTGATAATTGAGTTTGTAATCGTTCACAAGAAAAACCAGAGCAGTATACGTTAACTTGAGTAACCTCCATTTTGGAGCATGCACTACTGGTGTTCTAATTAATTTTCAATCAAGTGTATAATATATCTTAAAACAGACAGACAGACAGACAGTATAATATATCTTATCTTCGCCTTAGGTTTTGAAGCTACAGATTCGGCTTTCCCTACGTGATATTGTTTCCACAACCAGAAAACATTAGGTTAATGGCATATCGAAGTCAGACAAACGAGTGAAGGTGGGAGCCATCGACCACTGTGAAGCAGATGGATACAAGCTGATTCCTTGAAATCCCAGTGATATCACAAGTAATGAGTGATGACACTCAAACTTAAAAGTACTAAAGTAAGTGAATGAATGTATCGTCGAAATCATCTGCATTGTCATTTAATGATGCATAAGCATATTCCACAAATATTCAAATCCTCTGTCAATACGCTCATTTATCATAAAATTACACAATTGAATTAGATGTAATTATTGACGTGATGAAATGGTACTTCATATTCATCAGGCAGAAATCAATCCTAATGATGACCTTTTAAGTGAATAACCAAGTTAGAAATATAAGGCACTCAATACATTTATAAGCAACAGCACACATGTTAAGCGGCGAAGTGATAGTGACCCTCACCAAAACATTAGGAAACCAGGTGGGGAGTAAATTATGAATTCACGAAAATAGGGGTGTAATTGGGTGCTTGAAGGTAAGTCACTGGTGGTGACTGTAAAACACCTAGTTGGTAAGTTGACGGTTACTGTCGATTGCTCTCTACGTTTCAACAGGAAATCTATGCAAAGCCTAAACCCTCCCTATCAAATATATATATATATAATATATATATATATAAGCATAAAACTAACAGCAAGCAAGTGAATTATGGTTTCGTCTGCATCAATTTCAGACAGTAATCAGATCAGTAGTCACTGTCTCTATAAAATAAGGCGATTCGTACCACGTGTTTACATCAAAAATTTCCCACTTACCGATGCAAACTGACGCGATCCATGTCCCATTCTATGCAATTTCTGGACAGCTACCGTAGGTCGTCTTGAGTGGGAGAAAGTGGGATTAACACGAGAAGTATTCGTATTCGGTATATTTGAAGTCAATGCGTAAACTGGTGGTATGCCATCGAATATCAAACTAGCGTTTCTGATTGCGTTTAATCTCCAAAGAGACTCTGTCTTACTAACAAATCTATACACTTTGAAGGGCTCCTCACAATGCAAGTTATGCCGCTGCTTAACTTCTTGTATATCAGGTGCTTTGTTTAGAGCACAACGCAGTCGAGTCTTCCACATTGGCCAGTCAGGAGTATCGACACCCTCACGAAACCTTCCAGTAACAACAGCCCAATCCTAAGGATAAGGGTAACTAAGGAGGACTGTACCTTGAAAATGGCAGCGTCGCCTTCAGTCCATGTGTGCTTGCTGTGATGCTTCCAAGGTATTCGGAATATCCCCTTTTCTCTATCAACCCATTTAAGGCCATCAATCCACCCATCATTTAGTCGACTTTCCAGCCAAGGCCGAAGCCTGACACGAACATCCATACAAATAAATTAATCTAAAACAAAAACCGTTGTATTAGTTGTGTCAAAAAGCAAATAGTGATGAAAACGAATAGTGAACTGAACTACCATAAATTTGAATCTGTAAAGGCAACTAAGTATCTTCATAATCATTTAGAAACCCAACGCAACCAAAACAGAAAGCGAAAAGGAAATCGAAGACGAAACTGAATCTATTACCGGTAAACTTTTGGCGCACTATAGGACAATTGAATGTTCAATGTCTCTTAAGAAATAAGCTGTCATATCTCTCTCCCTATAGTTCTAATTAAAAGAAGTCAGTTTTTTAAAAGATTCTGTTTTTTGGCGATTATAATTTTTGAGCTTTGGAAATTATCGCTAAAATCAGTGCCTGGTCGACATAACGATTTGGTATACTGCGCTCCGTAATATACCAGAGGTATTATTTGTAGTGCTTGATACCATTAGGTTTCTCATAGTCATCTAAATTAGTTTATCTGTAACCAATTTAAACGTGGATCTCCTTTCCATTTAATCCAGCTTTTGCATGCACTGAAGTTAATACTGCCCCTGATTCTTAGTTTAGATGCCGACGGTGATTGGTCAATATGGAAGTGACGTAAGTTATTATGGAAACACAAAATAAGACGAAAAACTGAGGATACTGTGTAGTTCAGGTAACATCTTGAAAATGAGCTTAAATACAAGAAGTACGTAACCCGATTAAGCTTTGAGAAAGCGAGAGTGTATGGAAAATGGTGGTACCTAGAGGCTCGACTTATTAACGGATGCAAATAATAATAATAGTATAGTCTCATTTTGTACATGAGAGACGCCAGTTTACAGGCATCATCAATATGATAAATTACATATACGATTAGCAATCATAATAATAATAGTGTTTTAATAAAATACACATTTTTTCCTACTTGTGTAGGACACACCAAATATACAGGCATGGGTAAGCATTATTTAAATTTCATAAATTTGGTTTATGGTTAAGTTACATGGTTGCTGGCGTTTTTGTCTTAGGTCTGTGGGAACAATATGACAACCAGTCATTCAATGGAGCACGTCATGAAATATAGGAATATTAACTTCGCATTAACAAAAAAACCCAAGTATGTTTTGGATGGATTAAAACTACTTGGGAAAAAATAAAGCTTGAAGTAATTCCTCAATATAACTTGGGTGTGTACAAATCCGAATCTTATCTTTGATTTGATTTATATCCAAATTGGGTAATAAGGAAGCTATTTTACAGATACGATCAGTTATGTTATAAGTTACAATCGTGACGTTGTATTACAAATTGATAATTTTCCATTGGTATAAGAGTATATTCCACAAATGTAATCCAGGTTGCGTCGTGGAGAAAGTTAATTCGTTATTAACCAGGCAACTGAAAGATACGGGACCAATAATGTTTGCAGATCATTTGTCATTGTAAATGGTCAAATATCCACATTATTCATTCTCATTCAAAAAGTCAAATGGAAGCTGAAATGGTGAGAGAAAAAAGAAGACAAACAACAGCAACGCAAAAGAAAGCAACGGGAGTCCTTAGGGAGTGATTAATAAATATATACATATATATTCTGTCTAGTAACTATGGTTATTTTTGTTCACAACTAACTAGTCCCGTTATGCTAACTTTTTTATTATGTGTGAACTAATATTACTGTCCTGTGTAGAAATGTTTATCATCTAGTTCCAGTAATATTAAAATTTATAATTGTAGTTGGTTGTAACTACACGTTTAAAGAACTTAAATTATCTATGTATGGTGAAAAAGAAGGTGTAAGAGTCAGGCGCAAAAGTGCATTGTCATCTTTGAGCAGTCTGGTGACTGAGGAGATGAACACTGGAAGTGTGTTTGCATCGCGCACATTAGCTGGTAGTCTATTCCAAATGACTGAAAACTTATTTAAGAAGAAGTTGTACCGCACGTAAGTCTGACAGTGCTCCATAGCAGCTAGGTTGTGGTGATTTCTGAGATTGTAACTGGTGACAGCGGTAGGTTTAGTTATTGGCTCGGAGGAATGCAAGAGAAGATTAGTTAGCTTGTAGTAAAAGATAAGGTTTAGCTTAAGGCGTCTTTTCCAGAGGGGTTCTAATCTTAGTCTTCGCATCGCTCATGGTATTCCAGACCACTTTGTAAACCAAGAGTTCTTGAGGTAAACTGCCGTTGCACTCCCCTAATTTAAGCTTTTCATTTTGTCTGAGTCCGCTAAGAATAAACGGGCAGTATTCTAAGATAGGTCGGACACATACTTTGTATAATAAAACCCTAGTTTCACAACAAAATAAATCGCGTTTTATGCATCCTATCAGCCTTCGCGTTTTACGTCTGGCATAATCAGTCTGTTCAGCAAACCTTAGGTTACTAGAGTATCTAATACCGAGATCTACGACTGAATTGAGCTAAGCTAGTTTTCGCCCATTTATTTCAAGAGTTAGATCAGGTGCTGTTGCCATACAAATCCAGCCGCATTTATCAATGTTAAATTTAGACAGGATTCAGCACACCATGTGCGAGACTACTTAGTTCAAGATGTATTTAATTAACCATATCGCTTGATTCATGAAAATGTTGTGGAGAAGTGAATGTAAGAAGACTAAGGACCACCATATTTTAGATTACAATGAAGGATGAGAAGCCACAGACCCCTTCCAAATAAGACGCAAGTTCAACATAAACGAGTAGAAATAGAGCACTTCCCGTGATAAAATAAATCTCTTTGTGCATAACATTTTCCTTGCGTATATCAGCCAAATGTAGAAACACCTATCCACCTTGATTTAATTTTGTCACTTAGTTTAATCAATAAGAACTAGCATATATGTTTCAATGGCTTGTAGTGATAAATAACTCCCCAAAATTATTGACCGAAGCAATCATCACTGAATATTGAATGCTGACCCTCACTATTTTCGTCCATTTGTTTAGCTGAAGGCTTCCGGTCAAACATCCACACCATTTGGTACTCCATGGTGTCACGTTCGTTCGTTCATGCACAAGCCCTAGCTAGCTAAGCAATCATCTCGCAATCTGATTTGGTCCCGAAATATATCTCGTAATTTGGACGATCAATTGTGGTCTTTTGCTCTGCTTTTGATCTACGTGGAACGAATTCTATAGAAGTAGTGGGTATTAGATCTTTCGTTAGTATACTTCATACTATCCGTGAACGTCAATACCGTCAGTTTCTAAAGGCACACAACTCCTTGAAACTGTCATCCTCCACCTTCACTATCATTTGACTCAAGATAGTTGCCTTCACTGTTTAGGTGAAGCAGTTATTCAGGAGGCATTGGTGATGCACTGATTCTGTCTGACATGCTGTCGTTTTACGTTCTATTATTCGCGCATTATCTCTGTAGTTTGAAGCACAGGCCTAGGATTTTGAGTCCCAAATTGCATATGGCGATCCGGACGATCCAGTATTCTTCCTAACTTGACTTATATAATGTTTAAGTAGCAGGTTGGTATGTGCGTATTATTGTGTCATCGTAATGTTCTCGCTTACTTTTTAAACAAACTATCAACAGACGATCTAGTTCATGGACACTGACAGAAACTAGTTGAACAGATCAGCCAATAATTCTCATTCTTCTTAAGTCTGGCTTTTAATTTATCGGCAAATGTCTTTGCGACGGCCGCCGGTTGTCACCAGTATTTTCCTGAAATAAGGAACTTTCTGGCTACACTGACAATCCTTTGAAAGCGACAGGTGTTCGAGGATCATTTTCGAGCCAGATATTACTACGCATAAATCATATCAAACATTTTTTTCACGAAACTCTACATCAGTAGAATGAATGTTCCATCAGACGTATCTACTTCGGACACTACAATCTGGAGCTTTTTGGATTTATGAAAACGAAGTTAGGACTCATCAGTTACTACTGATAGGGGTGCTGGGCAAAGTCAAACTTTCGGCACCTCTAACAAGCAGTCAGTAAACGACCTTGAACGGACCAATCACATGAAAGAGGCATATTTGATAAATGGAAACGTATATTTATAGAAACAAAGCATAAAACTGTTACAGGGTGAAAGAAACATCTCCCAGTTAAGCATCAGACTGTCAATAGAAAAGTCACACTACAGTCTGTACATATATTCCTCTTGATGACTGTAAGTGAGATCCTTTCGAGGTCCATTTATAGCCCTTATCCTATTTTTCAACCTGCCCCGAAATTCTTCAATTGAATTTGTGTCCTCGTAACGGGATCGACAAAACCACACGAATGGTTGACACCATGATAAATATATCTCAGAGATCACAGGGAATTGTGACCTTTATATTTGTCAGCCACGCCTCGTAAACCGTTAATGCCCAGCTCTTGCTACGCTCGGACTCACGCTGTTCCTTGAAGTCTTTCAGAAACGCTTAGTAATAACGGACGAAAAAACCAAAACACCGATTGGCCACTCGAGAATTCTTTATTGTAACACCAACATATAAAAAATATTCCTACTAAGGTCTGTGAACAAATATTACAATAATAAATCACAATATTACTTCTGACGGTTTATTGCTGACTTCTTTCTGAACAGCGACCGATGAGACGATGACTGTCGTATTGATGCCTCCGCGAAAATTGGGGAAGTTGATTTTGAGCAAACAACCAAGAATTGATCGTTCAATCTTCAACTACATTGACACTCCCCGGCAAAAAAGGGATCCAACCCTTTTTTCCATCACGACCAATACACGTTGACTTGGATGCCATTGCGAGAACCTGGGTCACACGGACAGAGCTGAAATGGAAAACAAACAGAAAAGCCAACACACCACAAGCATACTCACAGCACAATCTCACACATCAATGACGACCTGCGCCTCCAAGTTAAAGGCATCCTCTTGACATCTTGCAACACAATCGCCACTTGCTAGAATGACTCTTGCAGAATGCAACGTGACCATAGCAGCACCTCACGATACTCTACGCACATCCTCTTATCTACTCACTACCAATTACCACTGAAATCGCTTGTCACTCATTCTGCCTCA